GTCAATAAGTGGCCTCTCATTTGAAGTCATTTTGGTTGCATTCAAATTGTACTTGAATCCAAAACCACTGGTATTTGGGCTCTGATATAGTAGTTCAACAGTCTAAACATGAGCCAACTAATTGTGTGTCTCATGTCAAATGAAAGTCAAGTTATTAGTTAGTCTCTCTCTCTCTCTCTCTCTTAATTATATGTAATTAAACTGTTAGAAAATTAAATATTCTAACAATATTGTAGTGATTAAAAAAATATTTTTACACTGTTTTCAAACATAATCAAATTGCGCCCACAACTACAATTAATATATTACATGTAATATCAAACTAGGGCTGTATATTACTAGAGATACCAGTAATGAAAGCAAGGTGAGGGTACCTTTATTAAAATGTATTATATTTATAATTCGTATATTAAGCAAGACCCAGATTCTTACCATGGACAAAAAATATAAAACCACAATTGAACGGGACGTTTTAATTGATATAATTAATTGCAAAACATTATAGGCAAAAATATTTTATGAAGCATTTCGTGAATATAATGACTATTTTAAAATAATTAGTGAAAAGTATTTTAAAGAATTTAAGCAATTTTTTTATTTAAGTAATAAGCAAGCAGACTATAAGAATAATTTAACATTTGTGACCGTATAGTAGATTAAATGATTGCAAACATGATTGCCATTTAATGAAAGGAATTCATACAATATATGATCGTCTGGGTGTTGAAAAGAGTTATTTATTTTTTCAATCTTAAACCATAATATTTATTTATTAAAATATAATTTATTTAATTTATTTTTAATAAATATATTTATAATATTAAAATTAATTATAATAAAATAATTGTTAATAATGTTTTAAATTAAAAGTAATGCTGTTTTAATTATTTTTAAAAATAATTTACACTGTTTGTTAGTATGAGTGCTTTGGTTATATTTAGTGTACAGTTTTAATTAGAAAATAAATAACTCTTTTCTGCACGTTGACGATCATATATGATAAGAAATAAATGTAACACTTTAGTGGTTTGTGTGATAACGTTGTGACCAGTGATAGCCCACATAACTCTGCTTTAAGTCGTTTTCGACAAAACTAATTCAACACTCATTATAAATGCCATGAATTCAGTGTTTGAAAGCATCCTTCGCTGAGGCCTTAAGCATGAAATCCCTACATATAATGGCATCCATTTCCATATAGGCCTTGGTTTGGGTGACTTGAGTCATATGTGCCAAAGCATAGCTAAAACACAGGTCCTCCAGATCAGGGACCTCATACTTAAGTGCAGCCGTATATACACGTAAAACGTTGTCGACTGTAATACCGTTCCGTATAAGTCGGACACTCTTATCCTTGAGGTCAGTCTCGGAGTAAGATTCGGCCAAATCTAGTAACTCAATGCCAACATCCGGTGCGACACATACCTCACCCGTGTATAGGTATCGCAGGAATGACTTATACATGTCATACGAGTATTGAGGCAACTATTGAGAGATAACTAGATTTAATGTTCAGTTAATTCTATAATATATGTGATGAAAAAATTGAAGATTAAATTAATTAAAGATTATTTAGTCTTTTGTGAGCTCACAACTAAACAAATGAAAATATTATATGAATGACTTCACTAAAAAAGCTTCAATAAAAACTTTTTAAAAATTATTACTATATTTAACGGATAATAACGGATATACAGACCTCCAGCTCTTGTTTCTCCCCTTCGATCCAATTGGCAAACAATGACCGGAAGTGTTGGCATCGGATGCGAAGTATATCTTTGTGGACGTGAATAGGCTTTCCCTCGACTATGAACTTAAAGTTACTGGTGTTTGGGTCGTCGAAAGCCTCATTCAAATGAGCCATAACTGGATTGGTGTTCAAAATTGTTGGCTTACTTTCGGACACATCACTCAATACAACAGATTTATAGGTAACGGTAGGCTTCGAGAAGACAGCGAATATGTCGTGTAATGAGTCATATGTTGTCTCTAATCATAGAAATTTTGATCACAATTTCATACAATTATTCATTCATTCAAATGATTACTCATTGGCTGTAATACAGTCCCGTTTGGGGGCTGACATCGACCCCATACATAGCCCACACCATCCACTGTAATAGCGACCGATATATCAGTCTTCATATTTGCCGCGATATCACGAAATGGACCCAAACTCTTGTCTAACTGAATAGGCGTGGATTGATTGGTGGTGTTACCGGTGCCCAACTGTCCCACATTGCACTGACCAAACATATAGATTATCCCATCTTTGGATAAAACCATTGTATGATAGGAACCACAAACCACACGACAAATGAATGTGTGGTTTAAATGTGTGATCAGCACTGGACTGGTTGGTTGTGTTTTGTGCCCTAAACCCAACTGTCCATGTGCATTATAACCCCTATATACCGTATATAATATCACAATTTAACCAGGTTATTTTTACTTTAATAACACAAACCATGAATAGACAGCTCCGGTGTCCGACACCGCCATTGAGTGAAAGTGTCCGCAAGAGATGGAAACAATACGACACGACTCGAGCAAACCATTCACCCGGATGGGCACGGATTGGTTACTACCGGTGCCATTGCCTACCTGCCCATGACCGTTATAACCCCAGCCATACACATGTCCGGTATCTGTGAGGGCCAGTGTGTAGCGATAACCGCACGATATGTCCACCACTTTCTCATTCAATGATACTTTCATGGGTTCAGTGGAACTGGTGGTCGACCCGTTCCCCAACTATGAGAATAAATCAGATTTAATTGATTTACAAATATATATACAAATATATATACATATATATAAGTATATATGTCTGAGATGTAGATATCATTATTGAAATATTATATATAGAGGGATAGAGAGCGATAATGCAACTGAACCTGGTTATATTGGTTACCACCCCAGGCATAGACGTGTCCATCGGTGGTGAGGGCGCACACGTGTTCATAGCCTACACTCACTTCAATGACTCCCTTATGGCTGAGTGCCTGTAGTTTAGTGACCGAACCGGCGCTCACTTTAACGCTGAAGACCTCATCCTCTTTGGTCACAACCACTGCTTCTGTCACTGAATTCATGTCAAACACAGCAAACATACGGATATTAGCCTTGAGTTGGCTGTCGATAGCACTTCCAGTCATCCATTTGTCGATTGACTCCCTTTTGACACAATTATCTTCAGACCATCTGTTTGTGCTCATCGTATGACTCACTGAACCATTGGATGACATTTGCACACAAATCGCCAAATATTATAATTAAATGAAGTGTTGCACTGTTTTTATTAAAACTGCAATTATTACATACAGTATATGCAATATCATTGTGATAAAAAAAATAATTGTTTATTGTACCGTATATTCGTAAAGCAAGGTAGTGGTAAAGGTAGTGTTCGTAAACCATAATTAATATGCAATAAAAATTTAACGCTTTAAATAAAAATATTTCCAAACTCAAATTTAAGACCAAGCTTAACCTAAGTTTGTTTAAACTTTTTAAGGTTAAGATTGAATCTTTAGTTTCAGTTCATGGAATCAAATGAAATGAAATGTTTAATTAATTCAAATAACTTGTCAAATGAAATATGAAATGTAAGTTTTCAAGCATATCATGTGGTATAATACCACTGGTATTACAATTCAATTAGTGAACAATTTATTGAAATTCACATTCAAGTGAATAAACATATACGGTATTTGGGAAACACATAATATTTGAAAGTTTGTAACTTGTATATATATCTCATGTTTTTAGGAGTTTTTTTTGAGTAAAAACTATTCACATACTTATTTACAGTTTTAATATAAAAGTTATAAATGTAAGCTTTCAATACTTTAAGTTAGTTTATTGAGTAAATATTTTTGAAAATAAAATGTTATTTCAATTAATTAATTTCATTTAATAACTAATGCCTATTTGCAATATTTTGTCACTAAATGATTAAAATTAATACTCCATCAAGCTATGATTGTGAAAATTAGTTTAAAATACTTTAAAATATTTGTAATAAGTTGTAATAATCAGTAAATTTTAAAACCTACATCATTTATTCGTAGTTTTATTTTAATTATATGTTACAACCATTCAAACATTTTTAATTAAATAGTTATTAATCTAATATCAATACCCAATCACACCATTCATTCATAAGCTTATGAAACATTTCATTAATTTCTAATCAAAGCTGTAAATATATTTTCAAAAGTTTTATATTACATACTAAACACTTAACACAAATCATGTTACATACCAGAAGGGGGTGGGTGTTCACTATAAATACCAATTAGTGTACGTAACTCAATATAATTGCCTAATTGGGGGCAATTTAATGACCAAAATTTCCCCCAAAAACAATACGTTGTGTAACAGTGTCTACAAATAGGCACTCATTCATAGCCCATACGTGAGTGAAACGACAGACACATTGAGTCACAAAAAAGTCTTCTTCAGAGAGACCACGCATTCATCACTCAATCCTCACCACAAAAATCATTCCTCGAAGTCCTTCGCCAACACGAGGACCACGGATCAGATGTTACGTACGTATCATTCATACTATCACTCAATACATACCTCTCTTTGTGTCCACAAAAAGGGATTCATTTGTCGTTTGCACTCAAAAAGCAAACCATTATTTGTATTGTATTTCTGAAACCCGTGTCACAAGACATCTAACCATTGATTTGTGTCCATCTCTGACAGCACGTGGAGGTCGTGGTGATGGCGGCACCGGTAGGGGTGGGGCTGACCACCAGAGGGGCAGAGGTGGTGGTACTCGTGGGCCGGGCTATGGTGTGGCGCATGGAGGCGGTGGTGACACCCCATACACGGGACCCGATGTACGCACACTGTGTCGCGACATGACATCCCTGGCCATCGGGGGTGTGGCCACCAGTCGCGGCACTCAGGGAACGCCCATTCAGTTGATCGCAAATCACTACCGTCTGGAAGGACTCGAAGACATCACGTGTTTGTTGTATGAAATAGACATTCGTCTGATTCGCGGGGACGGGAGGGGAACGTTGGCCATGACGGCCGCACCGGCAGCTCTGGGCGTTGAGGGCCGGCGACTACGCAATGACCGCAAAGCCGATAACCGCCAGATTCTGGATCAGATGACTCGCGAGTGGCCCGAAGTGTTCGCCGACCGTATGTACGCTTTCGACGGCCAGAAGTACCTCTACAGCGGTCGCCAGTTAGCCCTACCGCCCGGTGCCGGACAACAGCCCCGAGTGGTTAACATTCAGTTCGACGGACAGCCGGTGCAGACGTTTGAGGTGCGGATCAGTTTCACGAAACCCATCGCTTTCAACGTAATCAACGGCTACTTCGCCGGTAAGAACCGCGCGCCCAGTGATGAGGACTTCCGCGAAGCCATTCAGGCGCTGGAGATTGTGCTCCGGTATGTGTCGGGAGGCATACGGGTGCCCATCGGTCGCAATCTGTACGCCACGACCGGTCGTAAGGCTATTGTGGGAACCAATGCCGAGATAGCCTTCGGACACTCGCAGGCCATACAAGTGACCCAAACGGGCCTCACGTTGAATGTCGACCGCACGGCTACTCTTATACTGAGCGCCGGTAGTCTACCGGAGTTTATCGCAAAGGAGTTCCGTATTCAAGACATTAGGCGACAGGTGTTCGACGAGGAGCTGATCCAAAGAGTCACCAAAAGGATTAAAGGTTTGCTTATTCAGTGGTTTACCACTTGTTTGGGATCTAAGTGTTGATTGCATTGATTACAGGCCTCAAGATATACACCAATCATATCGCGGGTCAAAAGCGCCGGTATTTCGTGGAGACGATGACTTGGATGCGACCCCATGACCACCAGTTCCCCGACCAGAACGGGAACATTACTTCTGTGGAGCAGTACTTCAAACAACACTATAAGACGGAATTGGAGTTGCGAAACGTACCGCTCATTAAGACCCGGGGCTCCGGCAATACGCACCTACCGGTCGAGGTGTGCCACCTGTACGAGAATCAGCCGATGCCCAAAAAGCTGGTCACACCCGCCATGACCCGCGAGATCGTCACGGCGTCCAACAGCCAGAGCCCGACCACACGGTTCGGACGCATACAGCAATCAGTCGAAGAGGTGGCGACTGAGAGTCGGGACCTAATGGCCAGCTTTGGGATGACTAAAGGGCTGAGTTTAGCGCCCATTAGGCTGACGGGACGGGTGCTGAAGGCGCCGACACTTCAAGGCTCGCAGAATCGCGTAAAACTGGGCCAACCGTTGAACCGCTATTTGGTTTTCATTGTGTCGGAAGCCGTGCGAAAGGACCTGAAGGCCTATTTCAACCCATTCTTCACGCAACTCGTGAGCACCGGTAGGGAAATGGGTATCGCTATCCGCGCGCTCAGCACTACCACTAAACCACCAGAACTCCAGAACTGTGAGTATAGGTCTGTGGCGGACATTAGGGGCGCATTCAAGGCGGCCGCGGTGGACACGCAAATGATATTCTTCGTGATTCCCGACGTGAATGACATCTACTATGGGATCAAATTCTGCGGTGATGTCGAGTACGGGATACCCACGCAGTGTATCCTCGATAAGCACTTGATGTCCACTCCGAGGGGTTATTTCAGTAACATTTTGCTGAAAATAAACGCCAAACTCAACGGTCAGAATCAGGTGTTGCAGCCGTCGGACAGACCCTCGGCTATAGTGTCGCCGCGTGTCGGCCCCCAGAGCCTCACCCGTCGCACAATGGTTGTGGGCGTGGATGTGACACATCCGGGCACTAATCCGTTGGCCAACGAGCGGGTGGTATCATCGATAGCGGCATCGGTGGCCAGTTATGACCCCGAGTTCAGCAAATTTATGGTCACAATCGCCGGACAACCACTGAATACAGAAATTATCCCCAATTATGACGATATGTTTGTCACACATCTCAAGACATTTATGGCTAAAAATAATATGATTTTACCGCAAAGTGTGATCGTATACAGGGATGGCGTATCCGATGGACAGTTCGCTCACGTGAAAGAGAATGAGATACCACTCATTGAGAAGGCGTTCCACCGATTGAACCCTAGATTTGAGTTCAAAGTGACGGTGTTTGTGGTGCAGAAGCGACACCACACGAGGTTTGTGGCATACGATAGGATTGTGAACTACAAGGGAAAGGAGCAGAACATCCCCGCGGGAACGGTAGTCGACCACACGATCACTAATCCCCTGCACAATGAGTTTCATTTGTGTTCACACAAAGGATTACTCGTAAGTAACGCCTCGCAAATGGTTTAGTAATCCATTGATTAGTAGTTTTTATTTAGGATTTAATTGTAAAATTGTTTTTTAATTTAATTATTTGTTTTTGAATTGTTTTCATGAAAGGGAACGTCACGTCACGGGAAGTATGTCTGCCTCCGGGACGACCACAACCTCTCGGAAGACCAGAAGCAGCAAATGTCGTACTACTTGTGCCATACGTACTGCCGGTCCGCGACTCCCATATCGATACCAACACCCGTACAATACGCCCATTTGGCGGCCTATAGGGCTAAACAACACATCGCCGCACAGAATGTCGAGTTTGAGTTCAGGGTTAGGGATGAGACCAATGACAGGAAAGAGGAACGGGAGGCCAGGAATATAGCGCTACTAAATGATAAAGTATCCATTAATCCCAAAATCATTTTGTCGCCATATTTTGCTTAAGATTTCTGTTTTTTGTAAAATTTTTTGATTTGATTTTTGACTTCTTTTTTGTTTTTTGATTACTTCTTGTGTTTATTATTCATATGATTATAATTAATACGGATTTTTGTGTTTAATTATAGATTTTGTTTTTAATTTAAAGTTTAATTGCTTGTCTATTTAATCAATACTTTGTGTTAATTTTTTGTGAGATTTATGTTGGGTTTAATATTTTAGATAATTTTAATATATAATTTATTTGCTAACAAAATAACACTGGCTATTTATTTTTATATCAAAAACTAATATTACTTGTCATTGATATTAATAAAGTATTGAAACACAAAAGTCTTAATATGATATTACTTTTATTTAAAAATCAATTAATATACAAATATATAAACTATATATAAATATCTAATTATATAAAACTCCACAAAAAATATATTCACAAAACATGTCATAACTATAACTCTAAAGCCACGGGTGGGACAGTATCTGAGAGCTCCTAATCCTTTCGCATGGATCCGGATTCAACAACTGCTTCAATAGACTGTCCAGTCTCTCGTCATTCTGTAGGCTTTCCGGTAGATTCCAGTCCTTATCAATAATCTTTTGTTTCAATGCCTCCCTCCTCTCATTGGACCGGTATTTGTCTCCACTCCCGAACGGGAACTTCAAAGTAGTCATTGTATACAAGAGAACGCCTAAACTGAAACAGTCGGCCACGAAGGGGTCGAACCAGTGGACAGGTATGAGGGCTTCGGGGGACTGGTATTCAATAGTTCCGCAATTGGAGCGACACTTCTTGCGGGTGCCGTCCTCTGCGAGCGGTATCTCCCGGGCGTACCCAAAGTCCGTCACTTTCATCGAGTTGTTTCTGATGAGTATGTTATCGGCTTTGAGGTCCCGGTGCGCGATACCGATGCCGTGCAAGTACTCCACCGCCGATACTATCTGTCGGAACCACTGTTTAACGAGTTCGACGTCCAGGTGCTCGCCTTTGGCCAATACGCTGATGAGATCGCTGTCCGCGAGATCGGTCACTATAAACACATACCGGTCCTCGAGCTCCAGTATCTTATGGGTCTTAATGATGTATTCGTGGCGAACGGTGTTCACGATTGCCATCTCCCGCGGGATGTACTTCTTCTTGTGCTTCACCTCCAGTCTCTCCAGATCTATGCACTTGACGGCCACCACCTCCTCCCGGCGCTCCTTAGTCTCGCTGTCAGTGTCTGTCATACGGGCGCTGAACACAACGGCTGTCGTTCCCCTGTCCAAGTAGTCCATCACTTCCAGGCCCTTCTCTGTCAGAAATGCTTTCACATTATCCGTTAACTCAAGAGTAGGTTCCGACGCAGACATGTCTGTCCACTATTAGCACAGGAAAGGCTATTATAAGTATTGAATATTTGTCTCAATATTTAAATTCTAACGTATTTTTCATGGATTATAACAATTAGTAAAACATACGAGATATTAGACAACAAGATATTTAAACATTTATTTTATACATTTGTTTCAAATTTTGTTACAGTGTTTAGTGTGTGAATGGTGTGACCACTAATCCATTTCCCCAATAGTAGTCTCAGTTTAACAACAGATTTGTAATCAAATATTTTATGAATACCTTTTCAGTGATAAATAAAGTGAAAAATATACTTTTAATTATAAAGTTTTATTAGTATTTCAAAGAATTTTTTGTGAAAAAGGAATTCATATTAATAATCAAATATAAGAATAAAATAAGTCATAAAATAGTGTTAAGAATCGAAACAAAGAATTTTGAATTCAATTGAATTAATTGACAATTAAATGGACTTTTGGTTCAGTCGTCGGAATCTTCTAAATCCAGGGAACGGACCACTCGTGGGGACAGCCGTTGTTGACCTATAGGTGCAAACCCTGGCAGTGGTGGCGGAGGAGATTTCAGCGCGAGATACAGGGGCTGACCGCTGGGCTCCGCACTCTTGATCTGGTTTTGGATGACCACCGGAACCAGCGTTTGATGGGTTTGCGGATCCATGGGTTGAGGGCCGGGATGTGAGCGGCACTGACAGGTGTGACCACTTCTGCTTCTCCTCTTGTCTTCCTTGAGATGCATCCGTTCCTCCCGTTCCTCATTGGTCTCGACCACCAAAAGAGTGGCCAAACATAGACCACAACCGCAGCCAAGGATTGCGCCGATTATGAGACCAATGAGTAGAGAACTGCCGATAAGAGTAGTGATCGGGAACTCCATGTGAATGTTGAACACATCG